AAATGGCTTTAATTTCAATCAAAAAAATTCATCAAAATTCTCACTGCTGGTAATGTTTTTTATGAAGAGGTGATTGATTTCTTCGCAGATAAAAAAAATAGGCGAATTTATCTTCAGTATAAGCGGGTTTAAATAGGTATACGATTTTTATAGGTTTTTGACGAGGTTTTTGATTTTAATTTAGGAGTTTTTTTATGTGTGAATTTGTAAGATTTCTATTTAATTTTGAAGAAAACAGATTCATATCATTTAGAAACATGTTTATTTATTTTTTTATTTATAAGAGTTATATTTATTTTGTTGATTGTTTCGCACTGTTCCCATTTTTATAAGGAGAATTTAGTTTTAGTTTTTAGTTATACGCAACTCATTTATCCCTTTTTTCTCTTCAGTTCCCCTTACTTCCCTTCAGTTCCGCTTCCCAGTTTCCCTTTTTTTCCGGCAAGATGGTGTACTATTATTAATTTAATAATTAGGGTTTAAACCTAATGGTTATATTAATAATGCTGCACTTTACCTCTACACCTTCACGTGGTTCTTGCTGAACAATAAAATATTAATTAGACAAAAATGAGGTTTATTTAAAATAAAGGTCATTTTTACAATAAAATATATTTCATTGACAAAGTAGAGGATTCCTTCCCCACCACAGTCTAAGTTTTTTACTTAGTTTTAAGTATAGGTTGTGAACTGCGACGTCAGTTTTTTAACTTGGGTTTAAAAAAATTTCTTCGCCTTTAAATGAGGGCGAAACCCTGCCTCTGCTTCACCGAAATGAAATTTCACGGGCCGCCACTGACATGTTCCCCTTTTTTGCTTCTCACCCCCTCATTTATTTATGTCCGCAAAGTACTTTTACATCCGTTGTTATGTACGCAAAATATTTATAAATCCCTTTTGAAATGTTCTCTTTACATGTTGTATGATACTCGATTGCAATAGTTATTTGTTTTACAAACTGTTGAAAAGCGACTTTTAATGCTATTGTTTAAGTTGCTCACGAGGCAGTCAGGCCGAATGTGCATTAACACGAGCTTGAAGAAAGCTTTTCTCACAAGTGAAACACAATATTTTTTATGCAACCCTTTATTTTTTTTTTTATTCAAATACAAATCAAATAACCTAAAAACGTGTTTGACAGAGCTGTTAAAATTACTTTCATCTTATTATTTTAACTTTTAAGTTACTTAAAATCAATAAACTTACCTTCTTAATTTAAATAGAGGCACTAAAAAGTGGAATTTATGTAATAAATTCTACTTTTTAGTGCCTTTATTTAAATTAATAATACAAACACAATTAATAGTTATTTATGTATTAAGGGCATAATAAGGTTTTTATGGTCCGAGGCGCTATTTCGAGCCCGAGCGCGTTAGCGCGAGGGCTAGAAAAGCGTCGTAGGACCATAAAAACCAGTTATGCCAGCAATGCATACAAAACTTTATGCACGATTAATATATTATTATTTTTAATATATTATTGTTTTTAAAGACGTTTACGTCAAAGAATTTTTGTTATAATTGTCATATTATAATGTCAACTGACATCAATCAATTTTAAAGTTTAAAGATGAATGAAATTGAGGAAGCAGCTGAAAAGGCGAAAAATTGCGGCCTGCTGCCGGAAAAATCAAAATCTTTATACGAAAAAACTTACTTCGAATATATCAAATGGTGTAACATTGTTGTTTTTATTTTTGACGTTTCATTATAGCCCGCTGGGTCATAATAACGCCCGCGGGCTATAAAAAGACGTTTACGTCAAAGAATTTTTGTTATAATTGTCATATTATAATGTCATCGTGCATAAAGAATATTTAGACATACATATACAATTACAATACAAATTTTAAAACGAATGTCAAGCGATGCTGTCAATTTCTTTTTACACAGACCTGTCACTTTTCACACAGAAATGTCACTTTACATTCGTGTTTTGCCTTGCTAATGAAAAGATTAATTTTCTAAGCAAAGAGGACTTTTAGCAGTGGTCGTAGTCAACTCTTTTAATAATGCTAAATGCTGTTTGAGTTTAGACGACCGGTTGTTTGACGATTTTTACTGAATTGAAATGTTTACACTTTTCACGTTAATCATTACTAAAATGTGTATTTATTGTATCTAATCAATTTATATTTACAGGGACTCTATGAAATGTATTTCTTCATTCGGATTAACACTGTTTATTGGAAAACCGGTAAAAACTCAACCCAGGATTTCCTCTCGAAATACACCCAACAACACAACAAATAGTGCCACGGTTTTTTCCGAAATTTTTTAACATTTTTCGGCTTTATTCTCAAAAACATTTGTTTGTAACATTTTGACAGCTGATTATTAAAAGTTGTAGTTTTATTACTATGATTACGGCCGAGTGGTGGCGCTACTAGCGATGCTTCTATAGCACACCCTCAAATTCCAATTTTTATTGAAAATTTTCGACACAAATAAATATAAAACACTTAAAGATATTTAGGTGCGGAAATTCCAAACTTTCGTTAAAATAAATGTTTATATACGCTATAGCGTTAAATTCAACAAACTTTGCATAAAACTGTCACCTTTTCTATGCACTGCACTGAATTTTAAACTGTCACAATTTATAATGATAGAAAGTTTGTGTATCATTTGTTTCATTATTGCCAAGTTTATAAAATAAAATATTTATTGTAAGAAAATAAACATCAATGTATGTTAAACAATAAAGAAAATATTTAAATAAGTTAGTGTGGACAAAATAATTAGTCAGATCTAAAAATATTCATAAAAATAACTTAATCTACGGTAAGTATAAATAATAAACTTTGGACCAAATATTTGTTTTTATTTACTTAAATTCCTTTTAAGTACAAAAAGTTTTACGAAAACTGACGAGTTAACAAGTAGCCTGGGCGCCCAAAGAACACCTTTATTGACTAAGCCCGCCTTATATTTAATTTGATTACGTTTACAACTACCCTAGGTTTAGTACAATTTTTTGCCCGCAAAACTGGGTTCAATTCGTCGGCAATTATTTAATTTGATTATATTTACAAGTACTAGGCGGGCTTGGCGAGTGTCTGAGCACAGGTACTCGTTTTTTATATAAGGCCCCTGGAAGCCAAGAGGTAGAAGTACGGTGCTCCATACCCAAAAGTACCACGCTTCGCTCGGAATTTATTTAATTTAAATACGCGCAAAATTGGGCTCAGGCACTGACCAAGCTTGCCTCGCTTAGTTTGGAATTTATATAATTTGATTACATTTCCAACAAGGTCAGTGCCTCAGCAAAATTTTGCGCGCGCAAAATTGGTCTCAGGCACTGACCATGCCCGACTCGCTCTGCTCGGCATTTATATAATTTCCTAACGTTTAAAACAAGCCTAGGCGGGCTTGGTCAGTGCCTGAGCACGTGTACACGTTTTTTATATAAGGCCCCCAGAAGCCAAGGGGTAAAAGTCCCACGCTTCGCTTAGCATTTATTTAATTTAATTACGTTTACAAGTAGTCTCGGCGGGCTTGGTCAGTGCCTGAGCTCAATTTTGGGCGCACAAAATTGGGCTAAGGCACTGACCAAGCCCGGCTTGCTTCTCTCGGCATATACATATATAATTTGATTACGTTTCCCAAAAGCCTAGGCGAGCTTGATCAGTGCCTGAGCAGATGTACACGTTTTTTATATGAGGCCCGTATGCTTTAAAAGTATTGTTGACAATTCTTAAATTCACACAATGCTATCGAACCTCACCAGAGGCGAGCGCGTTGCGAAAACCCGATACTTCTTTAGCGTATAGACTCCAGCAGGCTAAGTAGGCTGGAGTGCTATCCGCGACTGTATAATATACATATATTATATATGTATATTTCTTTTCCATTGCTATCCTGTTTATATAATAGTATATACACGCAATAGGTTAGTTATAATATACCATAAATACATTAAAGTTTTAAAATATACTCTACTTTCAGATTGTTAATAGTAGGCGTGTCATGAGCATGTAGAAAATTAAATTTGAAAAGGCTATTTTTGACAGGTTTTTTGACAAGAACTGTCAATAACTGACAGATTTAAAGTGATGTTGCCATATGTAATTTTTTTACGCTAATTAGGGAAATTGGACATGCAACCCAGATTACATGAAAATTACAATTGCAATTATGTGTAGTGTCCTTTAAATGTTTTCTTTTATTTGAAGTAAGGTTCGTGTTTTTAGGACGTAAAATAAAAACAACTTTCTATTTTTAAGAAAAATTGCCGACGTTTCGAAAATATTTATTGAGAATATCCATAGACTATTTTAACTCATTTTTAGCCTTGAGGAAGAAATAAATATTTTCGAAACGTCGGCAATTTTTCTTAAAAAAAAGAAAGTTGTTTTTATTTTACGTCCTAAACCCACGAACCTTACTTCAAATATGTTTTTAACGATTTTGTTAACTTTAATTGTTTTTGTGGCCCGCTTGGCCTGAAATTTCCATATACTTATACTATGAAATACTATTTAAAATAGTATTTCATAGTATAAGTATATGGAAATTTCAGGCCAAGCGTGGCGACAAATTTCAAATTTTATTAAAAAATTTCAAGAATTACAGGTTTTATATCATTTTAAATTTTTATTATTTCTTTTACTAAATTAAAAAAAAATAGAAATGGTATAAAATCTGTAATACTTAAATTTTTTAAATAAAATTAGAAATGTGTCGATAAACTTCAGTGAATTAAATATTGTACCACTTTAATTTGAATTATCTTAATTTGGGGGGCAGGAGGCTGGGGGGCACACTTAAAAACAAACTTTTTTTGCATACTTCAATTTGAATTCTGCTTGCGCAGAACTTGTCTATATAATGTCATTAAACTCATATAAATTTGATGTGGGTCCCATGTCTAATAACTGAGATATGGGTGTCTCCAAAATCCACCATCCGCCAGAAATAGAGAGACCGAAAAGCCATTTTGATATATTAAAATAAAGTAAATAATAGTCTAAATGCTTTTATTATATTGCATTTTTTTTAACTGCTTTCATAATTACATAACATTACGTATTTTTATTTTACCAAACATCTAGGTTTGTATTTCAAAGATACAAAAGTGTCCGTTTTTTCCTTATTCTTTTTGGACTTCCTTAATTGAGCTACAAGGTGTTCTTGAAGTTGAAGTTTTGTTGGCCTTTTGTACATCATCAATCTTTGCACAAATGCTCGGTTAAAATAGCTTCTTTCCGTTTGAACAATTCCTATTTAACATTCAATTTTTTCCCTTTCTTATAACATAATTTATTAAATTTACACATTAGCTACTTTTCCGAAAAACGGATTGGGGGTTGCCAAAATGCAAAAAATACGCGTTGAGGGATGTAAAAGTGCATAAGCAATCGGCGCAGGGTAAAAAAGTTGTATAATTATCACGTAATTAATAAAAGGGGCTGATAATTGAAGTGACTTACAGTGATTTTCTGTGAAAAAGAGCATGTAGCGAGTCAAAAACACGTATCTAATAGACGTAGAATTTGAAAGTGAAGTGAAAAAGCTTGAATTATGAAAAACAACGTCATGAATTGCGGAAAATGCAATTTTTAAAATCAGGTAATTTGAGGTTATGCAGGTTCACAATCCAGCTTGCCCATAGATATATTATACCTCTATTACTCAATGGGGCGGGGGGGCCAATGGGGCGGGGTCGGTTGGGTTGGGTTGTTAAGTTTGGGTTGGTTTAGGTTGGTTTCGCTCACCTTTGCCCATTTTAGTGTACCTGCATAACCAAGATGACAGCTAATCTTCATAACCTCAAATTTCCTGATTTTATAAATTGCATTTTCCTCAATTCATGACGTTTTTCATAATTCACGCTTTTTCACTTTCACTTTCAAATTCTACGTCTATTAGATACGTGTTTTTGGCTCGCTGCATGTTCTTTTTCACAGAAAATCACGGTAAGTCACTTCAATTATCAGCCCCTTTTTTTATTAAATACGCGATAATTATACAACTTTTTCACCCTGCGCCGATTGTTTATGCACTTTTACATCCCTCCACACCTATTTTTGATATTTTGGCAACTTTCCTGTCGTTTTTCGGAAAAGTCGCTAAAGTGAAAATTTATTTATAATTACCTGGATTTCCACTGACACCTTTCGGTTTAGGTCTAGGAGCTTCTTCCTCATCCTCGTCATCTCCACCTTCTTCAGTTGATTTTCTCTTTGGCGGTGGCACGGACTTTGCTTCAGGTTTGGCATACATTTTCTTTTCATACTCCTTTCTATCTTTAAACCACATTCTTTGATACTCAAAGGATATCAAATAGTTCATGTGAGGCTTTTTTTCGTATTCGTATAAAGGTTTAAATCCAAAATTGTTTTTATCGCGCGCTTTTGAAGAAATTATGCAATCAGGTGGTCGAATAGGCCCGGTCGGCTGCCATTTATCGCGCATTTTGCTTTTTTTAATGGAAATATTGTTTACAAAAATAGACTTTTAATTTATGTCATAGTTTTTATTTAATAAAAGCACACGTCACTGGTGTAGAGATTGTGGAGATACCATAGAAATGGGTAAATAGGGTGCCAAAGTATCGCAAGCAACATAACTCAAATTTTGGGAAACATTTTTTGTTTTAAAGTCTGTTTTAAACCATATAGTTATAACAAGTAAATAGATATAATTATAAGCTATTTATATGTTATAAAACCTTTCGACTATATTTAATTTAAAACAGAGACCATTTTTGTAGAGTGTTTTGTTACAAGAATATTGATGTGTCGATATAATACGTTCATTATATTTCAAACTTTGGCTGTCTGGGGGCCGGCCGGCTTAATTTTAAAAGTAAGAGCTGCAATTTGGCACATTTTTTTTTATATATTTGGAACCTATTTAGGACTATCGTGAAGAAAAATTCGAACACACCCTAAATAAGGACCACCCTAATATATATATATATATATATATATATATAAAGGGTGTCCGGGAAAATGTGGGAAATCTCTCGGATTCAGATAAAACATGAAAAAATAAGATGACACGTTCCTATAAATTTTTTTCCTACTGGCCATCCTTACGGAGACATGGGCCCCGAAAGGACTCCCTGCAAATTGGTTTTCCTTGAATAACTTTTAAAGTACTAAATATAATTTTATAAAAATTTAATATGATGGACCCTGGTAAGGACCTCCTAAAATAGTGTTATTGAAACATGTTTTGCTTTTTTTGTTTACCAGGGGAGGACTAAGTTTTACTTTTTAATGCTTAAATTTCGAACACTCCGTATGACAAAGACTTAAAAAAACTAAATCTGCATAGCTTGAACCTTAAACTAAAATAATACTCTTGTTTATTGTCAATAAAATTAACCGTTTTCTAGAAAAAGAATAATAAACAAATTCATGTTTTATTTTTTAATAAAAAGGACCATAAAAAAATAATATAACGAATTGTTGCAAACCTTAAATTGAAGGACGATAATTCGAAATAATTAATTAAAAACTTTATAAGAGGGTTCAACATGGGTTCCGTGAACTCTGATACATTCTCAGGCACGACGAATTGACTGCTGTGCCCGCCAGAATAACCCAGAATTGTTTCTTATCATATCACAATAAAACGTGATTTTCTCTAGAAGTTCCTCTATCGGAGTGGAATACACCAAGTTTTTTTAGGTATCCCCACAGGAAAAAATCCATCAGCCTAAGGTCGGGAAATCGATGAGGCCAGTCAATAGGTTCTCCTCTACCTATGATAAACGTGCAGCACAGCAACGCTGAAATGAGGTGGTGCCCCATCGTGCAAGAAGTACATGTTTAGGCGGATTTCAAGTGGTAAGGGCTGGAAAGAATGGTGCTAATGAAGTTTACATTATTTTGTTGCTGGTCCAATAGCCAGTCTGCAAACTGCATTCTACAAGGAAAATCTTCAGAAATAAGTTTATGCACTTTTTTCATATGATAAGGATATAATAGCTGTTCTTAAAGAACATCATGCACTATTGTTTTCGACGTATTAAACTGTGCTGATAATTTTCGAGTGCTCGTTGAAGGAGTGTCATCTACAGCATTTAAAATATTTTTCAAACTTACCTAAAATTATGAAGAAAGTCAATAATATTACTTTAATAACTGAAATTGTCCACCATTCTCTCTAAGACGTTGGTCAATTCGTTAAAATGTCTTCTGATTTCGAATAATAAGAAGAGAATGGTGAACAATTTCATTTATTAAAGTATTATTATTGACTTCCTTCATAATTTTAGGTACCTACGTTTGTAAAAAAAGTTTTCTTTTCACGGATGAAGCAGGATTTACCAAAAAAGGTATCACACATGTATGGGCTGATGAAAATCCTCATGCCACTATTGTTTCGCATTTTCAACATCAGTTCCAACCAATTAATACGTGGGCAGGAATCATTGGCAATATTTTGATTGGACCATTCGTATTGCTCTCACGATTGAATGGACAACTTTTTTGGAGTTTCTCCAAAACGCTTTTCGGGATTTAATAGAGCCCTTACCACTTGGAACCCGCCTAAACATGTACTTCTTGCACGATGGGGCACCACCTCATTTCAGCGTTGCTGTGCGGGAGCACTTGAATAACGTTTATCCAAAGCGTTGGATAGGTAGAGGAGGACCTATTGACTGGCCTCCTCGATTTCCCGACCTTAGGCTGATGGATTTTTTCCATCGTCGTGCCCGCGAATGTATCAGAGTTCACGGAACCCATGTTGAACCGTCTTATAAAGTTTTTAATTAATTGTTTCGAATTATCGTCCTTTAATTTAAGGTTTGCAACAATACGTTATATTATTTTTTTATGGTCCTTTTTATTAAAAAATAAAACATGAATTTGTTTATTATTCTTTTTCTCGAAAACGGTTCATTTTATTGACAATAAACAAGAGTACCTTTATTTTAGTATAAGGTTCAAGCTATGCAGATTTAGTTTTTTTAAGTCTTTGTCATACGGGGTGTTCAAAATTTAACCATTAAAAAGTAAAACTTAGTCCGCCCCTGGTAAACAAAAAAAGCAAAACATGTTTCAATTACACTATTTTAAGAGGTCCTTACCAGGGTCCATCATATTAAATTTTTATTAAATTATATTTAGTACTTTAAAAGTTATTCAAGGAAAACCAATTTGCAGGGGAGTCCTTTCGGGGCCCATGTCTCCGTAAGGATGGCCAGTAGGAAAAAAATTTATAGGAACGTGTCATCTTATTTTTTCATGTTCTATCTGAATCCGAGAGATTTCCCACATTTTCCCGGACACCCTGTATATATAATATTGATTTTAAGAATATTTAGTTATTTGAATCTACATACAAATTAATGTTTTTAAACACAAAATTTAATTTAATAAAGGTAGTAAATAATCATATTGTTTTTTTTTATATATTAATATTATATTTAAAATCCGGGGATGCTATAAATTAGTCATTAAGTAAATATTCTTATTAATATTATAATAAATTTAAAGGATATGGAATAAATCTAAAAGGTAAATAGGTAAATTGTCCCATCAATCCATTACGTAAGTAATCTCTGCCAAAATCCTAAACAAGCAATACCTAACCAAATAATAGCTGTTGTCACAGTTAATAAATCTTCATTCTACTCGGTCGTCATAAATCCCTTCGGGCGGTTATAGTACGAGCAAGAAGTATCAGTAGGAGGCAAACCTCCAGCTGATTAATAGTGTCATGATACGGTGGCCAACAAATTCCATTTGATTTTGGCGGGCTACGGCGGTGGCGGTAACGTTTAAGTTCGTTCACGTATTCGTAGTCGGTGGCGGCGGATGACGTTTTACCGACGTCGGCGGCGGTACAGGAGAACGGACAGACGGGATAACATCTGGGAGTCCGGGTTGTAGGTGTTGGCAACAAAAGAATTGTGTCGCGCAAAGAGAACCGATCAATACCCCAAGAGGGTTACACCGATTCCCCTTCGATCAGAGGCGGATTAGGTACAACTGCCGAACTTTTATTTTTGAAAGGCCTCATATTTTATATGTGAGGGTGGTCTTATTTTTAGAAGTTTCAAATTCTAAAGTAAAATTTTCCCTTCACATTTTATTTTTTATTGCCATTGGTAGAACATAATAGTATATTATGTATCAAGATTGATAAACGACATTTTAGACACGAATTTAATTAAATAAGTGTCTAGAAAAGTTTATAAACAAGTTGCATACTGTACTTTTTCCACGACAAATATTTATTATTATCTAAAAATGATTTAAATGTCAAATTTGTATGTGTAAATCGAAATGTATCCATTGAAAATGGACCGTAATCCGATATAGAAACACTTTTTTACAGTGAAAGTTAAGTAAATGTTTTATTGACACTCGGTGAAGTCTCCACCCAAAATTAACTTAAATCTAGTTTACTTACTTACTTAAAAGGTCAGTACAATGTTCATATAAACTTTTTATATATTGGTGTTGAGAAACTATTTAATAGTTTTGTATTTTTGTATTGAGATAATAAAATATTTTTTACATTTAGTATTATTTTACAAGAAAGGCAATTTATTTTAACGATTGTATGACATTTGACAACTGTCAACTAACTTAAAACTAACTTCAGCCCGTGACTAAACCGCCATAAAGCCACAACTTGTCAAGGTACGTTTTAGAGGTGGGTGTAGAAAAGTACTTTTTCATATTTTATTGAAAGCGACGAATTTGTGTCCGACTTCTAAAGTTTTACGAAAACTGATTTAAAACCTGTTTAGCCTGTTAATTCCAATTTAGCACTAGAACAACCGAATCAATCTTCATTGATTTAAACCCCTAATAAAATTTTTGGTCGGATTATAAACTAAGTAAATCATTTTATTTCAAAAATAATATTTACCATCGATAAATTCCAGTTTTTTGTTTTACCGCAAATAATTATTATACCTAATTAATGTAAAGAATTCGTCCATGTATTATATAAATTTAAATTATTTGTATACCAATTATTAACTAAAATCATTTATATATAAATGATTTTAGTTATATTAAATTTCTTATATGTATATTGTCGCTGCCCCTGCAAGTAGCTCTATGCGCATTTTAACAAATTTTACAGAAGAAGAAAAAACTTTTTACTACCAGATAAAACTTTTTTGAAAGTATGCATACCTTAATGTTATTTCAATATTTAATTATACTGAAAAATATTAGGAAATATTTTCATCAAAGTTTTATTAGGTGGTGTCTTTTCCTTCTCCTGTAAAATTTGTTAAAATGCTCATAGATTTTTTTTGGCGCAGCAACGATATATTTAAATTCTAATATTGTCTCGCTTTTATTAATTAACATGTGCAATGGCCTGGGCTTTTCTGAACTGTAGGTTGTAAAAGGTTATGGTTCAAATTTAAACATAATTAGATTTGAAAAATCGGGAAAATGGAATTATCTGCCATGTTTTAGGTTAAAAAATGGTTATCTTTAGGCAAAACTAAAACCGTTCAAGAGGGATTAGGTTTAAAT